AACGAAGTTCACAACGAATTTTGCCAAAATATTCGTTGTGAACGAAGGCAGAAGAACGAAGACGGGATATGGATTCATGTCTCGCTGTTTTATCCTGACCAAGGTAAGGATTTGGGTCAGCATTCACAAACAGCTAGACATGAATCGCTAACCTGTCTTCACTCCTGACCCTAAACTTAGAATACGCAAGATAATGGTCAAGACAGGCAAAAATTGTCAACACGTCGTCGTCGTCCGACTTCGTTGTCTTGCTCAAACTCTCTATTTGTTCTGAAGACCGCGCTGTGCTCGACGACAAATTAAGAAGTGCCTCAGCAACATCGTTCTGAAAAGCACGTAGTTTTCTCTTGGTGTGGGCTACGTCGTGTCCTTTCTGAACGTATATGAGTGCCACTTTATATATATTTTTAAAATCATTTACAGTAATGCATATTACCTATATTCATTGGTCGCGAAGGCGGACACAGAATTTGGGTTTGCCTTCGTTGGTCCATTATTATCGATAAAACGTAAACTACAAATATAGCTGTCTTTCGTGCAAACAAAATTATCATCCCGGTGACACGCGATTATCCATTTTATATCTCCTTTCTGCCGATCGTACAGCCCAGAAAAATGATAAAATTGAAGGCCATTGTTATTTCTCTTATGAAGGTGCGGGTATCCTGAATCATTTTTACAAGTTCCCCAAGCACATATTTTAGTTGCGACCGTATTGCTATTGTCTTTATTCTACGGCCCTGTTTACACTATACCGGATTTGCTCGTCACGACATCTTCTTTTGCCGTTAAGGAGCAATGGTTAGTAGCAAATGCTTATTAGTTTGACAGAATTGGCATGTTTATTTGGGTCTCTGAGAACTATTGCGATTGTTTACATTTTTGACCACGTGCCAAGTATACGTGGTAGTAGTCATAATTCAAAATTTTAGAAGAAGAAAATTAGATCCGCACATCTTTCTAGTATTTTTCTTCACAGTACGTTTGGCAAATGAAATGCTTAACCAGTGCCGCCGTAGCCGGGAGGGGGGGGGGGCATGGCCCCCCTATTGTTGAGACCCTTCGGAAAATTGGTAATGTTGTCGGAATCTTCGTGGTCAAGCATACCTGCATATACGCTGGCCCGCCGAGTGCTAGTTCGGGAAAAGTGCTACGAAAGCAATTAACGTTCTTGTCCGGCAAATTTTTTACAAAAAAAATTGTGGACAAGGGCGGGGGGTGATAAATTAAAATGTTCTTGCCCGAAAATTTTGTTTCCAATTGAGTTTGTCGTAAACATAATGCCCTTGGCCCCCCAAAAACATGGGACCCACGCCGCTCCTGTGCTTAATTTCTTATCCTTTGAATGCAGACCGCAGACAAAGTAAAAAGAATTGTGCTAACTTGACGAATGATATCAAGTTATGCTTACATCGATCTTACGATTTGTCGGAGCATTCGTAGATTCGACTAAACGTGGTCCTTTCTATCGTTCCAGTCTCCCTGAATACGCTCAGCTGATTAAATGAAAGTACTGCAGCGCATGAATTACATTAAAGGGATCTGGCAATAAAAATAAACTTTGTCTTATTTGAAAGAACTTTTAAAGTTAGGTATGAAGACCCTTTACAACTTTTTCGTACCTTGCTTGGTTTTCGAAACATTTTGACCAAAAACAGTATGCAGTCCGTGATCTCAGTATTATAATTGACCTAATTAACTGAGTTTCTGATGATGTCACAAGCAGGGTAAACTTGTTAAAACTTCTTCATGTGGGACTAAATTTCTTCGAAAAGTTTCTTAAAATATTGTGAGTTAATTGAGTACTAAAATGACTTCGGAAATCGAGTTTCATATTGATAATGACATGTGGTTTGCAAGATAAAAATTTTGCTTTTTACCCTGCTTGTGACGTATGCATATCGCATGAATATCCAAGATGGCGGAATGCATGCTGCTTTTGATCAAAATAAGTCGATTTATTTCAAAAACCAAGCAAGATACGGAATAATTGTAAAAGAAGTTTGTATATCATTTTAAATGTTCTTTCAAGTAAGACAAACTTAATTTATATTGCCACATCCCTTTAAAGTAACGTATATTAAATTAATTCAAACAATATAAAAATGCTTTTTAACTTACAATAACTATATTAATTAAAACACTAAAATACGCTTATCTTGGAAATATTCTTACAATAAACTATTGATATGTTATTGATTTCTTGTGTACTGAATTCAATCATGCATTTTCAGTGGCGAGCTAGCCATAGCAACAAGTTGTGATTTGCATATTCAAACTTTTAGAAATGTATGGTCTTCAACCTATTTAGATGCAAGTTTAATAGCATAGCATGACCATTTAAATATGTTTGAGGCTATTACACTCCACCCGTTGAAGACTGCAGACTGGCGGTCGAAAGCTCGTAATAATAAATATTTAAAAAACAGAGAACGTCTAAAAACTTATTATAGCATGACCAGTTGCTCTGGCTAGCTTCGCATCATATTCTTTAAAAAATTTTCTTAATTATTTGATTAATTAATAATAAAACATGGTTTTACATGCAGCACGAGAATTTCCTGCAAATTGTATTTCGTTTTCAATTTCAGGTTATCAAAATACTACGGTTTGAAAAGCTCTTGAATAGTTCAGTGAATCTCTTGCTCATTTTACTGGAATATCCGCAAACGATAACAAACTACAACTCGTAGCGAGCTGTATACAGGATTCAAACATCGCATGATCTCGGCTAAGTGGGATGAAAAATTTCGACAAAAACACCGTAATTTCAAGATTTGACTGAAATGTGCATGTTCTTAAACAAAGCTTATTAACGATAAGAAATTCAAATACTATGTAGCTTTTCTTAGTTTCATAGCATCTTACCCGCAGGTCTTGCCTGAAGGTCATGATTTTGTCATATATAATCTCTCCCAACTCCCACCTAACCGAGACAATACAAATTGTTATTCGGATATTTATTGCAGGAAATCCAATGCTTGGACCACTGCCATTTCCAAAATGTGTTGATTAGTCAAAATAGTAATAAAACATCAAGTTTCACGTTTTTTCGCTTGCTACAGTTACGTTAGCGACATCATAATCCTCGTCTCACCCCAGATATCCAGTCTCATTTTTCGTATGAAAAAGATTAATTTAATTTTCAACTCAAATGTCAATTTTCATTTAATGAAGGAGGAAAATCTTCAATACCCTCGTCCCGTTCGCCTTTAAAGTAAAAGGCTTCTTCAATTATATTCGCATCGTGTAAGCTAGAACTGATAACGAGTAATTCCAGAGACAAAAAGTCGATCAATTGAAGCACATAATGGCAGAGTTTTCTGGTCCATGTTCCTCCGCATATGATATTAAAAGACTAAAAGTTCAATTTGGAATAAGAATGCTTGTGAAAAGAGAAAGTTGTAAGGCACCCGGGCTGAGGCTAGCGCGGTGTGAGAGAATACGAAATAAAGGCGTCAGATTCCTCATTGTCTGAAATGTAAAATGAACCAAACGGCACAATCTCTGCATGTTAGGGATTAACTTGCTGGAGAAGCAGTGGGCTGAACACCCTTCCTAGCTTTTGTTAAGGGAAGGGGAGTGGGGATAATTTCCGTATCCATTCCATTTTTAGATTTGGTAAAGCATTTACAAAAATAGAAATAAAATTAGAGCAAGATGAGACAGTAACATGATTGTGAAATGCAAGACCACAGATAGTTCCTTGCTGGCTAACTCGATCTCTAAGACACTTTGTCAATGTCACACCACGAGCCATGACCAAACTCGATAAGCACGCTGTACCAGATGTGGCTGGATCCATCCCTGCTGAATGTCAAATTTTTGCCCTTATTCATCTGACCGTCGAACACCCTATGTCTGCTCATTCTTTTATTGTTGTTGCTGCGATCATTATTACCGTAGTTGTTGAAGTTGTTATTGGGGCGCTTTTTGCATAAAAAGCAGTATCAAAGAGTAGATAAACAGAAGCACAAGTAAGGCATTATCTTGCATTCCTCTATCTTTCCCTGCTCCCCACACTGTGTTCGTAAGACAGACTTTGTTAGATGTACTCTTTGAAGTTAAATCACTTTAACAACTTGGTCCATGAATGGATGGAACTATAGTGATATCCACACCAGGGCCGTAGCGAAAAGGTTAAGGTTGGTGGGGGGCATCGCATTTGCCGACAGCATTTCAATTGCTAATTAATACTTCTTTTCCCAAAATTTGTTGGCGAATAGGCATGTAACGTTTCCGGAATAGTACAATTTTCTAAAAGTTGGGGAAAGGGGGGTATACCGCAGCAAATTTTGGCCCCTCATTGATAATCGGACGCATCATTGCTCACGTCCTTAAACAAAACATTCAGCGTTGTTTTTGATTCCATAATTCTGAACAAACATTGCAATATCTTCCGGAGCGAGTGCAGAATACCCCTTTTTAAGCTATGCCTTTCAAACATCATGGATACGATGCATTAATACATCTATATTTATTCAATAGATAAAAATCCCATGGTGGTAACGGTAGCTACGAGGCATGCAGTGGCTTAGCATTAAAATATTAAATTATCATAGTGTTAAAGGTACAATAGCTCTATATTTTAGTGGATACGCAGTCAAGTCGTTATTTGGCGAAGGAGGCATAGATCTGCATGCAGTTAGGGCGCTTTCCATTGAATGGTCTGCCGGTCAGACCCGAATTCTTTTCTCTGTATCAACGGAAAGATCTGGTCTATGTTTCTCAAATATCTAGCGAAAATGGATCTCATTTTAATGTTATCTAAATTTTCCGGTCAGATAAGTCCGAAACCCAAATGTTTTGTGTTCCGTTCAACAATTTGACCGTTCTGGCCGTGTTAATGGAAAGCGCCCTTAGATTAGCATTAATAGATCAAATTGTCATGCTATAGGTTGCTCTATATTTTTAGTGCAGTGGATACGCAGATACGCAGTCAACTAGTTGTTGTGGCTTTGTGCTTTATAAAACTTATCCTTAGGATGTTTTCACGCACGAGACGAGACCATTGGAGACGAGACCATATATAGGTTATGCCATTGCAATATTCTATGTGATTGCTGAAAGTTTATCACGCGCGTAGAGTTCCTGGTTAAAAAGACTAAGAGAGAAAACACATGCTTGCTTGCGCATTCATGTGCATGGTTTAATGTTCCTCACAACCGGACATTGGTGTTCGACAAATTATAATTATTACTTATTGAAAGTTCTCTGACTAAATATTTATTTCTACGAGCTTCCGGCTATCAGTCTATAGCCTTCGACGGGTCTATATACCCGTCTGTATACACCCGTCGAAGGCTATAGACTGATAGCCGAAAGCTCGAAGAAATAAATATTTAGTCAGAGAACGTTCAATAAATGTTTCAACCTGGCTTCCTCTATTTAAATTATGATTAATTAGCGTCCCTTGGAAAAAAATTATTTTATAAAGCATACTAAGCATAGTAGCCTATCAAACATTGACCGAGTCTTACATAATATTTCCTTTATAGTATCAATTCGTAATATAGTCTTAGTAATTAGTTTGTGTATAATTAGAACGAGGCAATAAGATCAGGTATATCAGTACGTATAATGTGAAACAGTGGCCGGCTAGATGATATGACATTCAGTAGTGGACAGGGTATTCTGCAATACTTCCTTGGGATGATATATAGTTTTAACTCGCAATAACAGTTTTTGAGTATTTTCGAAAGCAGAAAAAACAGGTTTGTAGATTTGCGAAGCAAATCGTCCATCTTTCTACACGTGGTCGAAGAACAACGTGGAGTGATGGATATATGGTGTACCAGTGAGTTACGCAGGTACGGATCAATAATGCGTCCGACTATCAATGAGGCGTCCGACTATCAATGAGGAGTCCGACTGTCTACTGAAAAAAATCTGCGGTACCGTATCCAATACGTAGGCTAGGCTATTAAAAAATTATGTTATTATACATTATACACCATCAATAATTGCAGAGTCAGAGTCTTAGACTAGCACATGACTAAGTTATGGGTAAGCTACAGTACAGTTAAAATTTAGATGCCATGTGTGGGGCATTGGTAATGTGATGGAGTATTGCTATTGTTGACAACTACTCTGTTATCCACGGTTAATATATATGAACTTTCATAATTAAAATATGTATGCAGCTGCATGCCATTGGCCATACGATGGCACGCATAATTTGTATTAAAACTTGGTGATGCCGATTCTTATCATAGAAGAAATGTAATCTAATTGCTGCTGGAAATAGTAAGAATTCTTTTCGGAAGTGGTGAATAAGCAAGTCTAAAAAACCGTACAAGATCAAACCTCTACGAATATTAACAAAGTGCAGCAATGAAATTAAATGAACAATTGGCTATCTCTCACACTGATATATATACACTGATAACAGTCTAGACAATGATGTTTATGATCTTACTTTGTATGACGATTATACGGCAATTAACCCTGACCTATAAGAGCTCTGGCATATGCAATATAGATTACTTGTGTCTGTGAGTGGTTTTCTCCTAGAACTTTTGAAAACATCTTGTACGCCAAGCGCAAATTACTCACTTCTAAAGTTTTGTTTTTTATTTTTTGTGCAACTTTGGCCACATGGACAAATACTTGAGCTTCACCCTCACTTCCCTCCGGAAAAAGATATTTAATGACAGACAATGCGTCATATAACGACGTAAGCGCATCTTTATAAGATCCAACATAGAAATGAGCTGTTGCCATCGCCCTATGACACTTAAATTCTTCAAATTTATCATAGGATTCATGAGAAATTTTTGGAAGCTGTACAAGAGCGTGTTTAAGGGAATCAATTGCTGTAATATATTCCCGCATTTTGTTTTGAATGAGGCCTTTCCACGTATAACATCGAAAAATCCAAAGATATTGTCGACATTCAGGAAGTGATTCTGCTAGTTGGATAGCTCTCTCAATTGCCTTTCTCGCCAATTTGAACTTTTCAATATTAACTAAAGTTACAACCATTGAAATGTAGCATAAAGCCGTCACCTCTCGAATGGTAAGATTGCTTCTCAGTGTGATCTCTAACTCAATGTCAAGAGCTTCTTGAAAGAACGCTAGACATGCTTTATGCTTTCCTGACTCAACTTGTTTTGAACCTAACGTCAAATACAGTATAGGTAATGACGACCTACAATTTTTTTCGATCACTGGTAAACAACTTTTCAACAATTCCATGTACATGTTTTCATCTACCTTCAAATTTAGAAGTTCCATACTTGCCCAACTGAACGTTCTACATCGCAATCTGTGCTCACTTCAAGTGCAGATTTAAAACATTTTATACTTTCGGTGTTGTGGCCAAGCGCGTTGTGCGCCTGTCCAATACCACAGTAACATTGAACTACATTTAAATATCCATTGGAACTTGGATTCTCAGCATACACCTTTTTCCTTATTTGCAGAGCCTGTTCAAGTGTTGCAAGACCAGAAGATAAATCTTTGAAATGACATTGCGGTTCCCATAGCAAAACTAATATTCGAGCGATTTCTTCAGTATCTTCATTGCACAATTTCCTTTTTATTCTAAGTGCTTCCTCAAAAGATGCAATAGCGGATTCAAATTCTTTCATGCATGTACTTGCTTCTCCTTTTCCGATATGAACCTCGGCTAAATCAGCATTAAAGCTGCTGCTCCCATCATGACAGGCTATCATAATTTCAAGAGCCTGGTCAAATGCATTAATAGCAGAAATATAATTCTCAGCACTATTCTCAGCCAAGCCTATTTTGTGGTAACAAAACGCAGTATTCCTATGTTGTTTACCATATTGTTTAAGTGAAAAATCAAGTGCGTTACGGCATGTTTCAACAACATTTGGACATCGTTTACTTTCATTAGTGTCCCTCAACATTTGAAAAGTATAGCAATTAAGTAATCGCTGAGGAGACAGAGACATCTCTGATATAGTCTGAAATGTTCTATCTGTCAAGGAACAACAATCATCAGACATCACTGATTTTTTAAGGAATGTGATCTTTTCATCGAAAAGAACTTCTTGTCCTACACGAACACCAAGAATAGCCAAAAGAAAATCACCGTATGTGACTATTTTACATAAATATTGTGAAGCATTGAATACCTTATTTTCCAGCTGCTGCTCTAATTGATGAACAAAGTTTAAAAAGTAGAGTTGTGTCTCGTAATTTAAAAAAGCTTTTGACCACATATATAAAAGATAGACAAACAAAATTAATTGCTCGCCTCTATATTGCTTTTGCGTCGTAGATAAAGTTCGCTCACAATTACCAATTAAAAAGAGATTGTAACTACCAATTTCTTTACAAACCTCAATCGCCTCTTTGCGTAACTCACTCGATTTGTTGCACTCTTTTAAATCAGTATAAAAAAGAGCAAGAAGCTGCAGGCATAAGCTTTTAATAAGTTGTTGGTCAGCACAATTTTGTAAACCATGGACATGTTTCTCAATACATTCAATACCCGACTTGATATTTCCTTTGACAATAAGTGAAATTCCTTCGTAACAACCTAATTTTCCTGCACTACCATCCGATAACAACATGACGTCCTCACGTATATGTTCAGGTATTTCTAAACACTCAACCTCCGAGAGAAGGTTGGAAGAGGCAATACTTTGAAAATACTTGCTGACATGTGATGAACCGATATACTTTATTATTATTATTTATATTAGGTTGAAGAGTTTAAGTTAGGATTAATAAGGACACTTAGGATTAGTCACGGACAGTAGATACATTGAGGGATGCTTTGGGATAAAGTAGGATATGGGAGAAGACAAGATGGCGGCGTAAACAAAATGTAAGCTATTTCGAAAAGACAAAATTATAACGTTTAAAGACTAAAATATATTTGGCGACGAGGATTAAAAAGCTAAAACAAAAAGAAAACCAGTCACTACGCACTAATACACACATTCTAATACAATTCCGGCCTCTACACACCTCGTAAGAAGACA